ATTTTGGCTCACATACTCTGTCCAAAGGTAACTGAAAATGTCCAGGTAAGAAATATGCGGCTGGTCTAATTTAGAAAATACTGAGATAAGGATTATTTCCTTAGAAGGAAAGTTAAACTAAAAAATACCCCAGTTATCTTTCTAAGATCCCATTCAAACTCCATGCTCTCATCTGTAGATTATGGAAGAGGGCATTTAACTAGATACTCTTAAGCTTCTTTTTACTTCCAAAATTCTATAACTATGTCACATAATTAAACCAAGGAATATGTATCAGAATTGTGGTGAAATCTATCAGGATTACAGGGGAAACATCAATATTTGCCAGGAGCTCAGATAGAAACTTCATCTGGGTTGGAAAAGCTTGGAACGTTGGAAAATCTCATCTAAGAGTTCATGCTCTACACCGACTCTTTTACCTGAAATAGATAAGATGGAGAAAATTCAATTCAGCATAATTGCTTATCCTACCATCTGTAATACCAACTAATGATCAGGATGTGTTTTATGCCTGAATTGTTTCAGTCACTATGTGAAGAGAAACAATCACAAAAAGACTCTGAAACCGTCTGAACTGTTCAGGCCTAGGAACTGGGATTGGCTGATTTCTTTCAAATATTATTGTTTTCTAATGGAGTGGGACTCAGAAAGGAATTTTTCAGGCCAAAGTAATACATACTTCTTACCCCTTGATACATCCAGACAAGATGGGGTATTCAAAATCGGAAAAAGACTTTGTGACAGCAATGGAATGTGAATTGGCTTCTGAGCTCTACAACTGGGAAGCAAAATTCCAAGTACTGGAAACCCAAAGATGTGGTAGCCCACTGGAGAAACATAGCTTTGAAACAGAAGAAGCCAGGAAAGAAACAATAATAAAAAAATTGATGAGTTACCCAGGAATAGGAAATATTGAACAGTGAATAGAAATTGAGAAAATTTATATTGGGGTGGAAGAAAAATGTATCCTATCATTCTTTAAAAAATATTTTTTTGAAAGACTGAGGCTATCCGGACAAGGCACTAAAAATGCTAATACATTTACAGCTTAGTGTTGGAGGGTCACTCTGTCATTCTTAATCCCCATGAGCTAGTCTCTGCCTTTATCCCCTAAGTAATAAACAAACCAGTCTTAGAAGATGCAATGGGTTGGGTTCACTTAGATTGGCTCAGATAGTTTTCCCTCTAGATTATAGCTGGCTTTTAGGAAGGAGGCATATAAAAATTAGGCTTCCCATTTCAATCCATAAATCTAGTTTTACTTCAATGTAAATAGGCCTGGACATCAACTTTATGTGCTCTTCAGCTCCATTCCAGCTAAATTTATAAACTCTTTCTGTATGGGGGCAACAAAGTACCCAGTTTTGTGCTTAAAAATTACTTTCAGTATGGAAAAAGAAGTAAGACTGAAAATACCACCACACAAATTGTACTGTTGTTGAACAGAGAAAGGAAATGTGATAAGGAAGGGCAAGAGAAATCCAGTTGGCTGTTGTTTTAACAAAATGTCAGGCCTTTTTCAAGAGTTCTAAACTGTTCTTTGCTAAGATTTGATTCATGGCATAGGACTTGTAACTAGAATGAGGATTATAAGAGACTATCGTGACTCATTCAAGAAATCTATGTTCAAGGCAATGCATTAAATAGAAGCCCATCAAAGTATGTAGACTCTTCAATCCAAATTTCCAGAAACTTCTGCAAATGGGAAAAACAGTTTGGAAATTTTTTCAAATGGCAACGAGGATTTCTTGGAAGCCAAGTTAGTACACAGTCCTACAGTCTCCTTATGAGGGCAATTATGTTATACCTGCTTGATTTAAATTATATGTAGTGAGTAGAATTCATGGCAAAGGTACTGCAAAGGAATTTCAAATTCAATGAATTTAAAGAAGAGGAAAGAAAGAAAATCATTATGTGGTTCAAAAAATAATGAAAAGCTCTCATACCCAAAGTAAAATTATATATTTCTGTTTACAAACATACCAGTAAAATGCATACCCTGAAAAACACTAAAAGGAAATCTGCTAAGGTTACAAAAAAACAGGACTCATTGATAGCCATTGGTGCTTAAGGAAAAGAGAACTTCTGCTAGGTCCTACTAAGTGTCAGCTACATTCTATATACATTCTATATATCCTCCCAACACTGAGACCTATGCACAGCTGAGGACACCAAAGCACAGAGAGGCCAAGCACTTTGTCCAAGATCAACACAGCTGATAAACCAAGCCAGATTTTGAACATGAATCTATACAGCTACAAAGTCCAGGCCATTAAATCTCTCTCTAAGAGGCAATCTGTGCTTTTCTAAATTGAGAAGAGAATGTTCTCAGTAGTCTTCCTTGTTTGCTTCCTAGTTTTTTCTGAAAGGGGCTGCCTCACCTCAGGTAGAAATGAATTTTAATTCATTTCCATCCCCTAGACTAAAATAAACTCTGTCATATCCACAAATTCTTATCAGAAATATAGCATAGGGAGGAGAAGCAGACATTCGCATCACGACACAAGTCTTCCTTTTGACTTAAGGTATTCAGTGGTGTTCCTGAAAATGAGAATGCATTGAACAAAAGCTCTTTAAGGTTTGTTTCTTAGAAAAAAAAAAACCTTCATTAAAAATAATATCTAACTATGCTTTTTAAAGTTTTTGCTTTCTCCCAGTTTTATGTGTTTCATCTTGAGAACAACCCAAGAGGTAGAACGAGTACTCGTCCTAGGTATTTGAGTTGTATGCAGCATTATATTAACTGCTGCATACAATTACTTTTAATGGCAAAAAAAACTTTTGCACCAAACTAATATTATTACATGGGCAAGTAAGGTCTCTTGGGACAAATGTTAATAAATACTTAACTGACATATTAACTGCTTGGATACAAATGGATTACACAAAATACTTGAAGTCAGTTATTTAACATACAAGAGACTCTTAGTTCACCATTTCCAGTGTGGGATAGCCACTGAGACGGTTGGCATTCCTTCCCTAAAAATCAACTCTTTTTATTTGTTTTCCATTTTTAAATCTTAACACTTTTTTTCTTTGAAGTTCCACTGAGTATAAAAAACAGTGCTGGCCAGGCATGGTGGCTCACACCTGTAATCCCAACACTTTGGAAGACAGAGGCAGGCGGACTGCCTGATGTCAGGAGTTCTAGACTAGTCTGGCCAACGTGGTGAAACCCAGTCTCTACTAAAAACACAAAAAAAATTAGCCAGGTGTGGTGCCATATGCCTGTAATCCCAGCTATTTTGGAGGCAGAGGCAGAGAAATTGCTTGAACCAGGGAGTTGGAGGTTGCAGTGAGCTGAGATCACATCACTGCACTCCAGCCTGGGTGACAGAGTGAGTCTCCTTCTCAAAAAAAAAAAAAAGAAAAACAGTACTAGACATCACAGAGGCTAAAACACAAAGAATCCCACAAGAATCAAAGATGGAAAAAGAAAAAAATGCATAACCACTAAAAATAATCTACAAAAATTCACACAGTAGTAGACATTAATCCTTGGCTGCACAGAAGAGTCACTCAATGAGCCCTAAAAATATGAATAACTGGGTCATGGCCCCAGAGATTTTGATTTCACTGGGCTGGGATGAAGCCTGAGCTTTGGTATTTTTAGAAGCTCCCCAGGTGATTCTATTGTACAGCTGAGGTTGAGAAGCACTGCCTACAAGGGCAATGGAGAGAGACACGGTACATGGATGGCTAAGAGTGCCAATGAAATTGCTGTTCAGGACACTGTAGGGATCTTCTTCCCTCTCTCCCTCCCTCCCTTCTTCTCTCATATGAATTGACCCCTTGAGTTAAGTAGCATTTGAAATGGATCATGAAGAATAGGCAGTTTTGAAGCATTGGGGATGGAGAACAGACAAAGTGCATCAGAGGAGGAGGAAATGCCATAAACCAAAACAAAGATGTGAAAAAGAACAAGGAGCATTTCGGGGATTTTAAGTTTGAGTGGAGGAGAGTTTTGTGGGACATGAAGCGGGAGAACAGGCTAAAACTGTGTGTCAGGGCCCAGAGGCAGAGAGTCCGAAGGCAGCTATGTTTGAAGCTGATTTTAGAAGCAATGAGAAACTACTTCTAATTTCTGAGCCAGAAAGAATGTGATCAAAATAACTATCACTCTACAACTGGAAATGTAGGGAAATTCTTGTAGAGAATGAGATGCGTGGATTGTAGAGGGAAGCCTGGGGAGAGAGAGACCAGGTAGCAAGTGATAGAGATGAGGAAGGCCAAGTCAGACGCAGTGCACCAGGACCATGGCAGTGTGGGGGCAAAGGACACATCCAAGGCACACTGTGATGGAGGAAGTGACAGGACTTAATTGGATCACAGGAGACAAGGACAGAAGGGATCAAAGATGGCCCTGAGAATTAGCCCTTGGTGACATAATTAACAGAAATGGGAACTCCGGAGGAAGAAGCAGGCTTTAGAGGACAGATAATGAATTCCATTTTAGATACATTTTGCCTCAGCTGCTGTCATGTCAGCAATTTGGAAATGTCCAGTGACAAGTCTGACATTAGGAGTTGGAGCACAGCAGAGTATTTTAAGGTAAAAGTAGAGAATCGGGTGTCGTGTTGTCATAATAGTGGATCATTAGAGAAAGCCCTAAGTGAGTTATCTGAGGGACATAAGAAAGAAAGAGCCTCTACTCATGAGGCTGAGGCGGGAGAATTTCTTGAACCCAGGAAGCGGAGGTTGCGGTAAGCCGAGATCACGCCATTGCACTCCAGCCTGGATAACAAGAGCGAAACTCTGTCTCAAAATAAATAAATAATAATAATAAAAAGATTTGAATAGAAAAAAAAAAAAAAAAGAAAGAGCCTCTGGATATGCTTGAAGGGGCTTATGAAGGACACAGGGGACAGTCCAACACGGAAAGAGACAAGGACAGGCTGCATTTATGGGACTCAATAAGAAAAAGATTCCAACAGCATGGGATAATCTACAATGGTAAATGTTACATACAATAAGCACATGTGAAGGCAAGAAAAAAATACCTGTGTATGTCCAATCACGGGTCATTGGAGACCAAACACAGAGAAGAGTGAGTGTAGCATCCGCAGCATTCACAGCACGTGATGTCAGAGCAGACAAGAAGTTGAAGGTGGGAGGTAAGAAGTGGAGACAAAGGTGGAGTCTTCGGTTCAAAAGATTTGCAAGAGGAAAATATTCAGGCAGCTGGAAACAGTATTAGGATCACCTGAAATCAAGGTAAAAGAGGATCGTGAATGCATACATGCAGTGATTAGAGTAAACAGAGGAGACTTTATATGCCAGAGAGGAAGAGGGGACTGGGGAGAGTGAAGGAGATCATTGAGAAAGTAAATAAAAGGCAGCCAAGGGGAAGAAGGTAAGATTGCCCCCAGACAAAAGAACAGATCTGCTTTTTCTTGAAAACAGAAGGAGAGATAGGATTAATAAAAGGACAGCTTAGACAAGATGAAAAGGCAAATGAAGAAGCTAAAAGCCTGATGAATTAGATTTTCTTAGTAAAGCAGAAAACAAAGTTACCTTCAAAAGATGGGGGGAATGACATGGTCCAGGGGAAGGGACACACCTTCGCAATAGGCAGGTCAGGAGTACAGGCTGTGTGCTGCCAAACTGAGACTTTTATGGACAAATTATTGCCTGGATAGATCACTTGAAGTAGTCAAGGAACCTATATGGCACTAACCTCAAAATTATATCTCTATAAGTGCTACCACCCAGAAATAATCTGAGTTTACAAGCCCTTTTTGTGGCATGATTCCCCCCTACGGATCTTCAGTAACTCTTTCACACCTTCAAATTAGGGCATCAGAATTTCTTCAAAAGGCTGCAAACTTCAGCCTACCCCAGTTTAACTCACTCTTCCCAGTTGGGCTTCACTGCTATTGTGTTCACTTGCAAGTCTCCTGTGGCCCAAGCAGGCAGATTCTCAACTTAACCTGTGTCCTAGAACAGGTCACATATCATCCACCTCCTCAAGTGGAAAACGAAGGGCGATGAGAATGCCGCACTGCCTCCAGCACAAAGGGTTTGTGAGGATTAAACAACAAATGGCTGAGCAATTTGCAGTTATGAAGCTGTAGAAAAGCTTAGTGATCATCTCTGCCTGGCTGGGCACAGCACAGTTCAGCAAACACAAAGGCCACATTCAGACCTTCCCAGGTGCCAAAGACCCGCAGAGAGCTGGCCAAATGAAGCAGAATCAGAAAACAAAAGAATCCCTCAACAAAACAAGGCAAGAGGAAAGAGTGCACAGAGGAAAGGGATTGGGAGGTTAGAGGGTCATGGAGTTTTCGGCCTCTGAAATTCTGCTGGACAAAGGAGTCATTTCATGTTTCTCTTTGGGTTACAATATGTGAGTGCATTTATCACAGACTGCACACTGACCCTGCAGCCATCTAGGAAATCTATCTGATGGACAGGGAGAGGTGTCTGATATGCACTGGCACCCCTTCCTTCCAATAAAGCCAGCTGTTGCACCACTTCAAGGCTTCTACAAGGAATCTCACTTGTGGGACACTGTCCTCCAGAAAAGCAGCAAGTTGAGCAACACCTCTACTTGCACCTCTAAAGCATTTGGGGCTACACTTCTTTTCCTTTTCTTACTCAACCAGAGACTTATTTGATATTACCTTTTTCATGAACATTAAAGTTTTTAGTCTTAGATAATAGTTTGGGCAAAACTTTTTTAAAGCCCACTAAATGTTGAAAGTTGCCTCAGTTGTCCTCTTTATCAAGATCCTATACTGCTCTCTAATGAATATCAGAGTGGCATTCTAAAGAAATACACTCAGACAACAGATACTGGGGAGGATGTGGAGAAATAGGAACACTTTGACACTGTTGGTGGAAGTGTAAACTAGTTCAACCATTGTGGAAGACAGTGTGGCGATTCCTCAAGGATCTAGAAATAGAAATTCCATTTGACCCAGCAATCCCATTACTGGGTATATAGCCAAAGGATTATAAATCATTCTACTATAAGGACACATGCACACGAATGTTCATTGCAGCACTGTTTACAATAGCAAAGACCTGGAACCAACCCAAATGTCCATCGATGATAGACTGGACTGGGAAAATGTGGCACATATACACCATGGAATATTATGCAGCAATCAAAAATGATGAGTTCGTGTCCTTTGTAGGGACATGGATGAACCTGGAAACCATCATTCCCAGCAATCTGACACAAGAACAGAAAATCAACCACCACATGTCCTCACTCATAGGTGGGTGCTGAACAATGAGAACACATGGACACAGGCAGGGGAGCATCACACACTGGGGTCTGTCAGGGGGAAATAGGGGAGGGACAGCGGGGGGTGGGGAGTTGGGGAGAGATAGCATGGGGAGAAATCCCAGATATAGGTGATGGGGAGGAAGGCAGCAAATTACACTGCCATGTGTGTACCTATAAAACAATCTTGCATGTTCTTCACATGTACCCCAAAACCTAAAATGCAATTAAAAAAAAAAAAAGAAATACACTCCTTGCAGGTGGGTGAGTCACACTTGAGTTGGTAGTGTAACTGAGGGGTTCCGAAGGTCCCACACAGTTTGAGAACCGTAGAAGAGTACTTTGACACTGTATGGCCAGGGGGGCTGAATAAGTAGTCCTCATCCACTAGACAGAAATTACCTCCAAGCTCCTAGCCCAAGGTGCCTGAGAGTCCCCAAGAGAGCAGACACGGTGGTGACGGTACCATGTTCACAGCTGAGCTATTGTCTGACCAGCCCAGTCCTGCACTCCAACTGCTTTCTCCATCACACAGTTCTGGGGTTACTGGGTTTCAGTGCCATTGCTGTGGGATTACTGAGGTCCCACGTCCTTTGCTGACCTGCTCTTGGCCACAAGGAACCCCAGGCCTCAGCCCTCTCTGCACAGCCAGCCTCAGGCATTGGTCTCCATCTTGTGGTGGCCACTATTGCCTCTCTCCTGCTAACATCTCAGGGCAGCAGCTTCACTCTTAATGTTCTTTTTGTTCAGAAGAGTCAAGGGCACTCACAGCAGCAGGGTTGGGGGCTCTTGTGGCATTATTATTTTGCATCTTCCTCACATACAATCCTCTTACACAGAACACATGGGTGTGGGCAGGAGGGCACGCTTCTCTCTCAGATCCCCTGTGCCGTCCTGACATCAGGTCGCAGGCTTGGTCTTCCCCATCCTTTCCAACTCCTTGTTCACTGAGGGTAACTTTCTCCCAGGGACCCTGTTCCTAATCTCCCTCAAACCAGGTTCTCATGGGGTAAGCATCTGTTTTAGAGATAGTCAGACGCATCAGGATAGGTGTGAACATCAGTTGTGGATGAGATTTAAACTTTTTTAAGGGGCTTCTGGAACTCGGGCCTGAAGTTTTCCCTCTTAGGCATGTTAAAAGAAAATCCTTAGACAAATTAAATTTGGAGGGTCTTGTTTTGTTTTATTTTGTTTTGTGACACAGTTTCACTCTGTCGCCCAGGCTGGAGTGCAGTGGTGCAGTCTTGGCTCACTGCAACCTCTGCCTCCCAGGTTCAAGTGATTCTTATGCATCAGCCTCCCAGGTAGCTAGGACTACAGGCATGAGCCACCAAACCCTGCTGATTTTTCTATTTGTAGTAGAGATGGGGTTTCACCATGTTTGCCAGACTGTTCTGGAACTCCTGACCTCAAGTGATCTGCCCAACTTGGCCTGCCCAAGTGCTGGGATTAGAGGGGTGAGCCACCGCACCCAACTAAATTTGGAGTTTAATTGAGCAAAGAACAACTTGCAAATCAAACAGCCCCAGAACCAGAATACATTCTGAGAGACTCTAGTGATGCCAGATGATAAAAGAAGATTTATAAACAGAAAAAGGAAAGTGATGTACAAAAATGGAAGGGAGGTAGAGAAACAGCTGAATTGGTTTCAGCTCCATGTTTGCCTTATTTGAACATGGTTTGAACAGTTGGCCACCTTTGATTGGCAAAACCTCAGTGATTGGCAAAAAAGTAGGTTATGGTCTATTTACATATCTAGTTAGGTTACAGTTCACTATGTACAGGGAAACTTTAGGCCGAACGTAAAATATGTAAGAAGGCAGCTTTAGGCTAGACTTAAAAGGCAGGTCCCATAACAATTACTCCAGCCTGGATTCACTCCTCAATGTCTAGCTTACCTGTGAAAAGTTCACATCCTTGCCATTCTTCCCAGTGAGAGTACAGGCCCTGCAGCTGCCACCCCTTTGCCAGAGCCACGCAGCTCCCAGAAAATCTCTATGAGCTCCACTCCAGTGCATGGAGGTAAGCTGACAAGCTTCTGTGGCTCAGCAAACATCCAGCTGCAAAGGAAAATGAGATTCCCTCTCTTTTTTAAGAGTATGCCAAATCTCTATGAGCAGTTATCTTGAAGTGGTACTGCCCACCTCCCTGGCCATGTGTGCAAGCATACACATACACACACACGCACACACACACATGCACAAATATACTCACACACACAGCCACTACCTCCTGGGCTGACACAACCCTTCTACCTCTAACTGTTGACCTTGATGGCTTTCTCTTTCTCCAACACATCTTCCAAAGGTCTAACCTTATTTTGGATAGCTTGAAGGTGGGAGACAGGTTTGATAGTTTTGTGACCGGCTCTACTATCCTCTTAATAAATTCAGCAGGAAGGTCGCTAATCCGCCTGACTCTGAAATGTAGGAGGCAGTTATTGCTTTGTAATCAGCTTTAGAGCATCAGCTGAAAACAGGACAAAAAAATATCGTCTGTTTTATAAGAGCATTTAGGTTTTACTAAATACAAATTTTTGAATTGTTTAAAAGCAATGTTTTCTAATCATTTCTAATATGGTATCAGCCAGAATTACATCTGCTTCACAATGAGATACATTCTAGAGTACACCCACAATTTAGTGCATAAAAGAGAAATTATAAAGAGGTACCAGAGCTTCGGAAAAATGAGGAAGAAATGCAACAAGGTAATGCTTAACATTGGTTATTCCCCTTTATTTGAAATTCATGAGACATGTTGTTTGCCATGCCTGTTTTAGGCAGTAATAGTTCTGATGGCTTTACGAGATCTCCAGAAATTGAAAATTAAGAAATTAGTTTTTGAAAAACACTCTTTGCTTACCCTACATAAGGTCTGGTTGTTGGATTGAATTACCCATTTTTAATGGAATCCTCAACACGAGTTTACTTCTCAAGTAAAAATAAAATAAAATAAAAACAAATTAATATGCT